ATTTTTTTTGCATATTTTTAAATGACTTTGTAGAAAATGTGTTTTCACTTTGACATGAAAGAGACTTTTTTTGTTTTTGTGGTAAATTCTTGACTTTAAAACAAAACGTTCTTTAAATGTTTAATTGATGTTATCGTGTAGAAATATGTTTGTATTTTGACATGAAAGTCTTATTTTGCAATTTCTTGTAATTTCCTTCATATTTTTCATGAATCAACATTACTTTTTGGAATTTGTTTTAAATTTGACATAAAAAAGAGCCTTTATTTTGTAAATTCTTATCTGTTTTGTAAGTTCCTGTATTTGTTAAATTGATCATTCTTTTGTAAAAATCTGTTTTTACTTTGATTTAAAAGAATCTTTTTGTGTAAATTACTGTCTTTTTGTAATTTCTTGTACATTTTTAATCAGTTAACATGACTTTATAGAAATCTGTTCACACTTTCACATGAAAGTCTTTTTTTTGTAAATTCTTGTTTTTTGTAATTTCTTGCATATTGTTTAATTATTTAACACTGGTTTGCAGAAATACGTCTACACTTTGATATGAATAAAATCTATTCTTGTTTTGTTGTAGGTTACTTTGTGTGTTTACTTTACTTTGTAAAAATCCGTTTTCACTTTGATGTGAACGAACCTTTTTATGTAAATGTTTTCTTGTATATCTTTAATGAGCTGTCATGACTCTGTAGAAACGTGTTTACACTTTGACATCAACACGACTTTTTCTGTGATTTCTTGTCTTTTATAAGTTCTTGTACGTCTTACGTTGGGGATTCTTTTGTGGCGATCTGTTTCCACTTTGATGTGAACGAGTCATTTTGTGTAAAGTCCTTGTTAAAACCTCGGGAGCTCGTTGTTCTTCCACATCGGTGGCGGCGGCGGCGGCGTTGTCGTCGTACGCCCCGCTGTCTGCAAAATAATTGCCTTGTGATCCGCGACAATAATTAGCCCATAATTGGCCGTGTATATTCAGAGATATTAACAATCCCAACAAAGTGCATTAACAACAGAACCCGGAGTAAAAAAAGCTTTGGTGTTGCTAACAAGCGTCCCGTGTGGTCATCAAAGAGCTCAGTTCTTGACACCGGGCTCCTCCGGCTGTGGCTCGGTTCGGCCCGCTCAGCGCTACCGTGTGCTGCTTTGTTTTCTTTTTAACTCGAGATAAATTTGGCAGCGGTTTAAACGGGACCTGACCCACCTCCACGCGGAGCGGACAGATGGAGCGTCGGCGTCGTCGTTCTTTATTTATTTCGTCCTACAGTGAGATTCATCGGGCGGCTCGTCAAAGTGCGCGACGGCTGCAGGAGATAATGGCGCACGAGTGAAGTGCTGCTATTTGTATGCTAATGAAGTGGGAAGTAATAACTTCATTAGCATACAAATAAATAAATAAGTCCACCTTGGGTTTGCTCCTCGTTGTCTTTTTGCAGGATGCTTATGTCGCCGGTGGATTTGTTTGGCGGGAGGAAGACGACGGGAAACTAGTTAAAGCTGCAGAGTGTCAGCGTGGACAGAAAGTGTCAATTATAGCCGTGTTTTGTTTTGGCGACGGCGGGACTGAAGCACGATAACAAATACAGGATCTTTTTTTCTAGAAACTATTTTTAAGTGGCATGTCAAATCTCTTAGGCAGCCGCGAAAAAGAGACGCGGCGTAAATTGCGACTGCTTTGAGGGGAGAAAAGCCTCTTAAAGCCAGAATTGCTCACCAGGATCATGGCAGATAAGACTCGGCGGCGCTGTGGCCGACTTGATGATTTCAAAGTGACTGCGGCGACTGCTTTTCAGAAATCAGAACTAACACCATCTCTGATTGAGGTTGACGCGGCCGCTCGGCGGAGGGAAAAATAACCGCCGGTGCCACGGAGCGTATTTTCCAGAAACAGAAGTTGATGTGTATATTCTGCCGCATCCCGGCTCTGCTTTGTCTCTCCGAGTCGCCGCCGTACTTGCAGCATCGTTGTTGTTTTTTTTTCTGAAGAACAAAACGGCGCCGACTGCGCGGAGCCTAATTCTGAGACGTCGCAGCGTTTCGCTGGGAAAACGAGAAGCGGCGTCTCCACCGGATGCATAATCCTATTTTTACCACCGATCCTCTCGGCAGTCACCTTGTTTTAGTCCTAAAAGGGATTAAATCCGGAGCCTTTAGTCGCTGCGACCTTGACTTTGAGAGGCTCCAAACAAAGACTGTTGAGTTAATCGTTTTCATAAGGAACACATTTAAAAGTTCAAAAAAAAAAAAAAATGCCCCCAAAAGTAATTTACCTCCACAGCTGCAGAATATAAAGACTGACATAGATCACCGGCGCCGCCGCTTGATTTAGACGTGTTATTATTCCGAACAACCTCCAGGAATCGTGTTTGCCCAACTGTTATATTTGGCAGTAATTATTTCCCGGGCTATTTCTCTCCGGAGGGCGATACCGAGGGCATCAGATTGACAAATAGCCACTTGAAAAGGAGGTAATAATCGGTTAACACTTAAACTCATATCACAGACGGTGCGTTATGCGCGCCGTGATGTGCGGCGAGGTCGAACACTTCGGCTCCGTGATGTCGGGAGTTTCAGGTGTGGAGGGAATTTTAAAGAAAAAAGAGACGAACAGCAGACCTGCTTTGTGTCGTTACGCTCAGAGGAAGATCACAACTTTCTCAACATCTTCATTTCCATCCCGGCTCTGAACCGAGGGGTCGCACGCAATCACGCTGACCAGATACTACGAGGTGTTTCGCGGCGGGAAGCCTCGGCTGCAATTAGCGAGGCTGAAAAAAGGGGGCCTCGCTCCATTTAGCTCGGCGCGTTCAAGGCCGCCGCTGTTTTGCATGCAGGCTCTAATGGCGTTAATTACACCTTTGCTTTGAGCTACTACGGCGAGTCAAAGTGTCGGCGGTGAAAAAGAGCCGCCGGTCACGCTTCGGGGCGACGCCAGCCGAGCGCCGAGCCTCGCTTTGCATTCAGCCGCCGTCGCTGCTCGTTCAAGGCCGCCGTAAACGATGTAAAAAAACCTCCAAAACATAATTGTTCCAACGCTGCAATCAGCCGTGATTACCGCCATGACACGCGTCCGCCGCGCCGAGTCTGATGCTCCGAGTTTATTTTAAATTACAGCCGCGCTAAACGTTGGACTGCGTGTAATTTGAGGAGCGATGTCTGGAGTTCAGTTTGAGGCTTTGAAGCGGCTGCAGATGACTGAACGTCGGCAACAAACCGGAGGATGAAACTCCAGCAGCGTTATTTATTTGAACTCATGCACGCTGGTGTTGTGCATTTTTAGTTTTTTCAACAGCAACAGAGTGATTAAAGAATCTAATTATTTAAAGATTTCATACTTCTGGGACTGTGAATGTAAATAAAACGACTAAAGAAGCTGATTTGTGGCTGTTTGTGAGTTTTTGTGGCTCAGAAACGACGTTTTTCTGATGACGTGTCGATAAACGTTGATGAATAAATCCGATTATTGGCTTGGAAACATGTAAAGGTCGCTGGTAGCTCTGCAAACACAGGCTTTGAACTTGCAGGACTTTCAAGGGTTTAACTATTATTTAACTTTCTGAACCAGTTTTTGGCTCATTTTCACTGAAAAACATCTAAAAATATCCATAATGTGTTGATATTTTCAAGAAAAACCTCCAGACGCTGCTTTGAATCGTTTTAATAAACTCATATTTATGTTATTTTAGCAACTAATCTTCTGAGCTGCTGTCCTGTTTTTCCTGTTTTTCCTGTTTGACTATTTTATTCTGGTTTATTGATTGGTTTCTCTGGTTTTATGCTGTTTGGAGGTTTTAGACGTGATTTTGTTGCTGCCTGTCCGAAAACACTTTGGTTCAACTCAGGTTGCTTTAAAAAGAAATTTGATTTGATTTGATGTAAAGTCCTGTTTCTTTATGGAAACAGAACGTCCACGGTTACAAGTACAAGCTTTTATTTCTTTACTTACTCTACAAAAAGTAAGAAAAATAAAAAAAATTAACATGAACAACATAAGTGTCTACAGGTGTTATCAAGATTAAAAACAAAGAAAAAACAAATCTGCATGGTATAGATATTTTTCTATTTACAGTTTAAATTGTTGTTTAATATATTCATATGCTCCCATTAAAGAAGGAAAAAAACAGCTTTGCTCATCAGCAACGTGCTCTAATTTATCTGGGACAGTTTATTCATTTTATATTTTTTAAATTATTCTTTTCAACCACAATTCAAAACCAATGTCTTATTTCACTAAATTATCATTTTGCAAATTTTTATTTATTATTACTTTTTCCAGTTTCTAGTTATTTGAGTGACTATTGTGAATTTAGCCTTTTCTTTAATGGAAGAGGCGAATATTCAGATACCAGCACAGTGACTGAATATTCAGCCGAAAGCTCCTTGAATTTTTATCATGCGACCGTCAATCGCAGCCGAGTCACTCGTAGCTTCACGGTTTTCCTGATGAGTGCAGAATTTTTTTGTTTTCACAGAAACTTTTTAGAGCAAATTATTTATTTTTGGCGATTTAAAATTTTTTTTTTTGGTGATTTTGATGACCTATCACCACGTCCAGCTCAGACTTGGTGAAGTTTCCAGATGGAGCGCTACGTAACAGACGAGTTTCTGCTCAAAGGGATAAAAAAACATCAACAGTTCCTCTCGTCTTTACAGTTTCTGATGAACGGCGCCGTTCCTGTGATTCTGTAATAACAGTTCGTCTCTCAAACCCGCCGGCGGTTCAGAAGGTTAACGTCTTTTTTTCTTTTTCTAATTTCACGCGGATCAACATAAACACTTCAGACCACAAACATGCTGATATGAACGCCTCTCTCCGGGATATCTCACATCGACGTCTCACAACGGTTCTGCCGGTTCAAGGACGCCAGGACCTCATCGGCGGCAGATAAAACGGAGCACATCTCTCCACAGATCCATTAAATATATATTTTTAACAACACCCGAGCCAATCTTTTGGAAGGGGAAAAAAAGCAGACATTAAATCAGATGGAGCGGTGCGTTACCTTGGCATGTGGCTGTTGAAAGGTGACTCTGGAGCTGTTGATGAGCGATGAGTATCTGAATAAGTGGGTGGGGGAGGCGGGGAATCTGGGAGAGCTGCTGGGCTGGTTGTGCAGGACAGCTGAGAAGCAGATGTGAACCGTGTCCTTCAGCGCCTTCAGCTGAGACTCCTGTCGCCAAACGAGATTAAACACACACAAGATGATTTCTGAAGCATCCGTCCGTCCGTCCACACGAGGAATTTACTTTAAAGTCGTGTGGAGGTCTGGGGGCGTTAAAGTAGCTCCAACATGCAAGAACTCATCTACTTCTAATCAATAGTAACACAATGATCAGTTTTGACAACTCTATCACCTGTTTTGTTCGACTCAGCCCTTCATGCAGTTGTAACCCGGCTAGCTTAGCCTCGGTAGCAGCGCGTCAATAAGCGCATGTATAATTAAGGCTTATGAACTAAAGCTGCTGCGAGTGTCCGACTCCAACCTCCAAACCCGAACACATTACTTATTCATTGGCTAATTTAGCTTCCTCATTCGCGGGTTTGGATGAGAGGTGCAGACACAGCGATGCTATCAAAATTTTATAATTACAATGAAGTTCTGGTTCACCTTGTCCAGCGCCGTCTTCTCCAGCTCCTCCTTGGCGATGGTCAGCTTGTGCTCCAGGTCCATGAGCTGCTGGCCCTGCAGAGACACGACGGTTTGTTCAGCGCAAATCATTTCTCCTGATAATAAAACTTTCATTCTAACACCTGGTGCACGTAGCTTTAGCGCCACATCGCATGCAGACTCCATATTTTTAGCTCGTTAAGGAGATTCAGCTCCACCAGCACTTTCCTACTTCAGCACTAAAGTCTTTGGTGAAGCACATTTTCAAATCCATATTGAATCACATCTGCCCTTTGCGCACGAGAAGAAAAGTTTAATCTTGACAGTTACGAGCGCGGACCCCCTTGAAAGTGTCAGCGGCCTTAATGAGGCTCGGTTTAATCCCCCGGACCGACCGGCACGCACAGAGGGGGCTATTTTCGGTAATTGAGCCAATATAAGTCCATACGTGGATCAACAGACCTTCCTCCGAGGAGTCTTTTATTATTGATAAACTCATCAAGAGCGAGAAGAAAAAAGAAAGCGGGCCGGATCATTTGCATGCAGCCGGAGCGAGGCCGGCCTCGGCGGTCGGACTTTCAGCCGTGAACTTTTATTGGGCGTCTTTTTACTGGCCTCTAAAAGTGATAAACTGCTCAGACTCTGGATTCTGAGACACCCAAGGTCAGGTAAGCCAACAAACAGCAAGCAAAAGAAAAAAAAAGAGAGAAATTTTGAGAGAGTGGTGATGAAGCTGATTGATGGTTCTCGGCGGGTTTTATCGACTCGCGCGGTGCCTCGGTGGGTTTTGCGGCGGGTCGGGGGGACGTTGGCGTGTTTGGACGATTTCATCTCATTTTCGTCTCGATTTCTGCCAGAAAAAAAAAAAAAAAGGAGGCGATTTTAATGATGAACATGTCTGTCACTTCCAGCACTGGCTAAGCTAAAAACGGTGGTTAAGTTTTCCTCCCTGACAGATGAGTCACGCAGCGACACTCAAGGACGGAGCTGCTCTCACCGCGATGGGCTTTTTTTCAAAGAATCAGATCTTTTCTCTCAGAAGGTTTTTTTATTTTTTAGATAGAGTGAGTTTAGGACAATTGCACAAAGTCATCTGTTGGGGCTGCACTCGAGAGAGAATCAGGAGGTAATAAAGTTTGTGGAAGAGTTCTTTAATCAAGGACACAAAGGCTCAACTGATCTCTGGAAGGATTCACCGACACGCATTCGAATTATTCTCAATAAAAAGGGAAACTGAAGGTTACTGGAAACTTGAAACGATTTCTGGAAAGTTGTCGGACGTTTGCGACTGAAGCACCGGCAGCGGATGCCGTAATGATGATGTTAACAACTGTGAACACCGGAGTAAAGCGCTCAGCCATTCTAGGTGTTATTAGCCCATTAAATGTCCATTATCGCTGAACATCTTCCTCACACCTATGGGCCGGTAAAGACCTTCTCCGGCTTCCCAGTGGACTCGGTCGGCCGTTAGAACTCCATTTAATAGTCGTGGAGCTGCGAGTTTGTGCTTAGAATTAGTTGGACGAGGCACAAATCAGCCGACTTGGAGGCATTCAGATGACTTATGGTGTTATTTTTTAGACTTTAACTCGCAGTTATAGGCGCCGACCAACCTTTCTGAGGAGGATTGTTAATGATTGTTGGTTAATTACTGTTAATAATTTAGGTGAAACACAATAAGACGGAAGACGAACGCCACGCATGTCAGAAAATAGATTGTAGATCAGCTGCAGTACCTGGTTGTTCCACCAGGTGGAGCTACTTCCTGTTTAGAGACCAGAGGAGGCGTTTAGGACGGTAGGTGGTTCGTGTTGGCGAGCAGAGAGCATTGTGGGAGTTTAGCTAGCGACGGGACCATGACAAAGACTTCTGTGGAGGTCAATGACATCCAGCCAAAGTTGCGTAAATTAAGCTAAAGTCTAGAAGGACGTTGTTGATTGTAGCACTAATAATATATCGATGTGTTGATGATTCATCGAGTTTTGATTGCTTGAGGCGCCGACTCTCTTGTAAGGACACTATTTAAAAGGACACTATTTAAAATTTGCCTCCTTAATCCTTATTGTGTTGTTCTTTGAGTTGAGGCTTGTTTTGACTTTCGTTACTTCCATTTTCAGTCGGTATCTGATTAAGTGTATGCAGCAAAACTACCCGGTTAGGTTTAGAAAAGGGACTTTGAGGCAGAAGATTTGAGGATGAGTCATTTTTATAGTATTATTTTTAGCTTAAGTTCTGTTTTGACTTCGATGCGCTGTTTTTAACTCGTTGTTTACTTGAGTTTTCAGTCGATATTTGGAGAAGTTGGAAGAAAAGCCTCATGGTTTGGGTTAAAATAAACTCTGCTGCATTTTCCAGGATCCAGAGCTCCACTCCAGATGTTAAAGCACTGATTTACACATCTGTAAGGGTTTGTTGTTGGGATACTTTTTGTTGATTAAAACGGATAATAACGCTTCGGCTAAGACCAGGATGTGAACGAGGCTTCTACAGGAGACTTAAGACGGATTCCAGTCTCTCTAATGAACCGTTTTTGGTGATTGGTGAAGTGTTGGCACGAAAACTATTTAGTTTGGGTCAGAAAATGATCACGTTTTGGGTTAAACTGCAGCCGTTTGCTGTGGGTTCATTCACGAGACCAAGAGCTCCTGTTTACTGTCTGTTTGATCAATAATCAGATAAAACGTCTACGGGGCCACTAAAAGGTGGAGGACGTCCCGACTGATCTGTATATATATATAAATATATATATGGAGCAATATGTGCTGGTAAAAACCACTTAATGGACCAATAATGTCTAAATCTATACCTGGAGCTGCCTTCAGACGTTTGGGGTTTATGAGCTGAGGAGATGCTGCAGAACAAGAAACCCACAGCCGAGTTCATTAAAGTGCAGAGCGGTGAATAATCACGAGTCGGAGGAAAAGCTGCATCCCGTTATTAGTTTGTCTTCTAAAGGATTGTGTGTTTGTGCGAGTACAGTAGGGAGTCATTACGTTCATTACACAGCGCCTCATCACCGGAGTCCTCGGAGGGCTGCGGGCGGATCGCCGCTGACCCAGAAACGCCGACTTTCAGGGTTAGTGCCTCCAAGTCTGCAGCGCTTCCGAGTCCATTACGGAGATGTGGGGCGGGCCGGGTCGTGAACTCGCCGCCAGACGACGCGTGCAGCTACACAAAGACGCCATCTTTGTTATGGGATTAGGAAACAGCTCCGGGGGTAGAGTTTTAAAGTTTTATTTTTTGGCCTTTGTGCCTTTTTTTTTATTGGACAGTGTTAGTGAGAGAGAGAAAGGAAAGTAGGGGAGAAGAATGGAGGGAGGACATGTGGGTCATGAGCGGGATTTGAACCCATGACCTCCACATTGGGACTGTAGCCCTGCACATGAGACGCCAGCTCAACCAGGTGAGCTGTAGCGGCGCTCCTGGGGGTAGATTTTTAAAAGTGGAAGAAGCTGGACTGGCGGGGAAACACTGGGAAGGCACCGCTGGATGCTTTTCTGATGCTCCGGCTGAGCAGGTGAAGAAAAACCTGCCTGTCTGTAGAGTTCAGGACCTGATTCAGATTCTTGTTTTTTAAGCGGTCGTCCCTCAAATCAGAGAAAAAAATTATCATGTTTATGTTACTTTAGCAGAAAAAACCTCAAGACGTGCTTTTGGCTTCTTCTAATGGCCTCAATAAACTCATATCATGTTATTTTAGTAAATTATCCCACTAGTTGGCATCCTGTTTTACCTGTTTTACCTGTTTTGCTATTATATTGTATTTTACTAGCTGCCGTCCTGCTCTATAATTTACTGTGTTCTATGTTTTTTTTTTTACGATTGACTCCACTAGCTTCATCCTGTGGTTTATCCTGATGTTTTGCACATGATTTTGTTGCTTCCTGTCTGAGCAGCACTTTGGTCGACGCACACTATTTTTGCTTTATGCATAAATTTCAATTTGATATAAAGTCCTGGAAACAGCCCGACGACGGCTGGACGCAGAGAAAACATGAAAAACGTCTTCTTTAGCAAAGTTAGAAGGTGTTTGGTGAAGTTTAGGAACCAAAACTGCTCGATTAGGTTCAGAAAATGGTCAAAATATATCTTTTTTGTGATACTTTTACATGTCAGAAAGCTCCATTTTGCACGTTTACAAGGTAAAAACTTCTTTTTAATGTGTTTATTGCCACGACCACAAGGGAAACCTGCCTCTTTGTAGAGTTTACAGTTTGGCACTGGGGCTAATTTAGCTTATTAGGCTTAATTTTGCCTTCAAATCTGAGGGCTGGTGATGAAAAATTATCATATTGTTATTTTTAGCAAAAGATCCTGCACAAGAAGAACCTCTAGACATGCTCTTTTGGCTTCATCTAATGGCCTCAATAACTCACATTTATGTTATTTCAGTAAATTATCCCACAAGTTGGTATCACGTTTGACTATTTTATTCTGGTTTACTTGATTTATTTCAGTAGTTTCATCTTGTTTTAAAGTTTGCACATTTGCACGTGCAGCACTTTGGTCAACAAGAGTTATTTTAAACGTGCTTTATAGAGAAATTAGATATGATCTGACATAAATAACTGTGGCTGGAAGTACAAAAAAACATCAAAAACGTCTCCTACAGTAAAGTTAGACGGCGTTTGGTGAAGTTTATGCCCCAAAACTGCTCGTTTAGGTTTAAAAAATGGTCAGAATACATCTGATTTTACTACTTTTACATGTCATAAAGCTCCTTTTTGTACGTTTACAGGGTAGAAATGTGCTTTTTGACATGACCACGAGGGAAACCTGCCAGAGTTTGGCACAGGAGGGGGATTTAGATTCAGGTCGCTTATTTTTATTTATTTTATTTTTTTGGCGGTTGTCCTTCAAATCCGAGAAATGAAAGCTTATCCGCCAAAGAAAGCTGATAATACCGACTTGTTCCCTGCTCCTCTCGCTGTGGTTTGTCCTCAATTTGTACATCTGCAATTTGTCACAAAAAAAAAAGAAGAAGCACCTTCTTCTTCTTCTTCTTCTTCTTCTTTATTCTCCGGCGGCTCACACCTGGCAATTCCAAAAAGCAAACGGCCTCTGAGACAATCTTGATTTCTGCTTTCGGCGCTGAGGTTTTTTTTTATTTTTTTGTGCACCGTGACATTGTGTTTGCAAAATGCACTTTGATTTGGTACAACAGCTGTCATAACCAATCGGGCGGCCTCATGGTGGAGGTGCCTTGACTGACGTCCCCCCCTGTGAGGCTGATGACATTTCGGCGATCTGGAGTGGCTCTTCTTCTACTTCCTGCTCCTCCGTCCCCTGCTGGGCTTTTGATCACAGCACGGGGAATACAGATGAGTTTTCAGGAGCAGCGGCGAGGACGGCGGGGGGGTCAGAGGGACACGATGCATTCTCCTCTGACCTTTTCCATCAGAATAAAAAAAAAAAAACCCACCAGCGCCCGTCAGCCGGACTTTTACAAGACAAAGAAAACGATCAAATTAGCCTCATCGTTATTCCGCGGCCGCAAATAACGTTTTAAAGGTTGGCGCGATTCGCCGGGTGACATTGAGCAACAACGTTGTTTTGCGCGAGTGACTGATGCAATTTGGAGACAGCGATTTACGAGCGGTGACACCGAGCAAACAAGTCAATGCATCCATCATTCACGGGGCTGGAAATAGAACAAGGGAGGGACAGGACATCCAGGGACAATATATTCAGGCGTTAGACGGCATCAAATTCTGTCCGCGAGGAGTCTTCAGGAATGATGGCACTGAAACGTACATTTAAAAAAAAAAAAAAAAGAACGTGGCAGAAACGTCGACTGGCATTTTAACGCCGCAAACAAGGCCTGAAAGGTCAGCGCATGTAGCCGTAAATGCCAATAAATATTACGTGAGCGCTCAGATGTGGGAACATTTAGTCCGAGAGCATGTACGGGCGGCAACAATACACAACACTTTCTGGTTTGTTTATTTTGTGCTCGCAGGAGGAAGTATGTGAGCAGGATGCCAAAAAAAAGCAGAAGAAGCTGAGCACGCCTCTGAACTGCAGCAGTACATGCTGTCATTTGCAATTTGCATCCTCACGATTCCCTTATATGATCTAATGCATAATTCTGTATCAAGTTCGCTCGCTGCTGTCCACATCATTTATCCGCATCCCGCCCGTGATTGAGGAGGATGGGGTGGATCTTGCAGAGGACAAGACGCAGCGTTGGTCGGTTGACTTTGCGGGACGCCGCCTGGCTGGAAGGAACTCGGTAATTTGTGGGGGGGCCGAATTAACCGCAGCGCCTCCTTCGATGGGGATCGTCCTTTCAAGGTGGTCCGCGGCACCTGTTTACCCCCCGGTTCTGGAGCCGCCGTACGGCCGCCCACCTTCAGTTTTTTGAGCTTACCTTAAAAATTAAATCCTTTTTCCCGTACCGCAGTTCTTTCAGTTGAGCCTGGATTTTTTTGGACTGCAAGGGGAAGATAAGGAAATAAGTGTTAGCTTATTCAAATAGCGAAATTGGTTTTAGATCACGTAGCAGGATTCTGCCAGCTGCAGCAGAAGACTCCTTTGTGAGTGTTCCCTGGGCAGAGCTGTGGCTTAAAGGAAAGGCCCCACTGAGAGGGAGAAAATATCAAATCTACCCTTCACTGAACTGTGTAGTCCACACAATGATGCAGTCATGCACTGGCTTCTCTCCCACTGTCTAAACCTGAATTCTCACTCCCACGACACACATTACCATCGCCGCCGCCGCCGCCGCCGCTTTGCACGTGCACGCTCTCTTTCTTCTTCTTTATTTCCCTCCCAGGTTGCTCGGCCGTCTTCGGTCAAGCAGCACACACAACAACAGAGCGCCTCTTAACAGCGGCGCCCCCGAGCGTGGCGGCGAGCGGCTGACATTCGCCGGGTGGCTCCACATCAGCGGCCTCATCGAGCACGGAGGCCGTCTCCCAGATCGCCTGATGCACGGCCGTCCTGAAAGCCGCTCATGATGTGAGCACGAACTGAGAGGGCTTCTCTCTCCAGAAGCTTTGGGAGGAATTTTTCACGGGTTTTTGTGCCGTGAAGCCTCGCAAGGCTGGAACTCAGCTGGCTGCTTGTTTCTGTGAGCGTCTGCCTGTGACTTCCTAAATTCCTCCCAAAAACCGACCCGCCGTCAGGCTCCACAGGCTGCATGTCTCTAAAATATTCACCAAAAACACACCAGAGGCAGAAACGGTGAAAAACAGAAAGGATATTGAACTTTCCGACTGCCCTTGAACTACTCATCCGTGACACTGTTCTGTTGGGAAACTGGACCCAATCTACGTCTAACTACCTCTGAACCCAAAACCCTCTCACAGGTTTAAAAAGGCGTGCAGTCTGTTAAATATTCACCAAAAACACACCAGAGCCAGAAACGGTACAAACAGAAAGGATTTTGCACTTTCCGACTGCCCTTGAACTACTCATCCGTGACACTGATCCGTTGGGAAACTGGACCCAATCGATGTCTGATTAAAAAAAAAAAAACAGGTTTGCTGTAACTGGATTCTGTAAAAACCTTTTATGTGACCAACCGTCATTCTGGGACTTTTAAGCCGAACTGGGATGAACTGGAACGTCAGTGGAGTTGAACTTTCTGCCCCATAAGCCTGGAACCATGTTACGCAAATAAAACTTGTGTCTGTTTGTGTCTCAACGTCTTCGTCTTTCTAAGATTCTCATAATTAAACCTCTGAACCCCAAAACCTTCTACAAGGTTTAAAAAGACATATTTTCTTTATAATAATCACCAAAAATAAACCATTTCACCGCGTCAGAAACAGTGAAAACAGAAAGAATTGTTGGATACTGAGCTTTCCGACAGCCCTTGAACTACTCATCCGTGACTCTGTTCTGTTGGGAAACTGGACCAAACCAACGTCTAACTACCGCTGAACCCAAAACCCAGCAGCAGGTTTAAAAAGACACGTTGTCTTTTAAATATTCACCAAAAATACACCATCTGTCAGAGCTAGAAACGGTAAACACAGACAGAATCATCAGATTTCAAACTTTCCGACAGTCCTTGAACTACTCATCTGTGACTGCTGGAAAATTTAACTAAATCTGAGCTTAAAATTGTGATATTTCATCAAAGTTACTTGATTCTGCATCTATGACGTCAAAAATGTACAAAAAAAACAAAACAAAGCAAAAAAAAAAAAAAGTAAATATCCAAATTCTTTTTTTGTTGAGCTTTTGTTGACTAAACTGCGACAAACAAAAACGTGTCGGATGAACTGCAGGCTGAGCAGAGACGAGCCAAATATGACAATAAACTAAACATGTAAACAGTAAAACTACTGATGGAGAAACTGGACCCAGTCCAGTCACTTTATTCTGCAATTCTGGTTTAAAACCAGGGAGAAAAACAAATAAACCTCTCATCGGATTCTGTCGAAAACAAAAAATTCCGAACTCCTGGGTTCAAACGAAAAGCCTTTACTGAGTTATTTGTGACCAACAGTCAGTGTTCAGCTGAACTGGGATGAACTGCAGGACGTGCTGGTTCCACCTGCTGGACACGTGGATTCTAGTTTGTTTAAGTTTTTGTAAAATACACATTTTGGTTTTTTTTAGGATTTCTGACATTCGAACGGTTTCGTCCTGCACAGAAGACGACTGTGAAGCCTTTTCCAGGCCTGGATCTGTCTGTGGTGTAAACAAAACTCAGCTTGAAGCCCAAAGAAGTCTTTAGACAAGAGATGGATCCATAATTACAGGCGTTTATCCAGGTCTGTGTGGATAAATATTCCAGTTAGGATTCCAGATTTCTGTCGACTCAGGCAGTTCGTGTGCTTGACGAGCCTCCGTTTGTATTTATGTTTATGTTATTTTATGATTCTTCTTCGTTATTCCTGTTTCCAGGCTGATTCCAGGTCCCGAGGCGCTCGTCTCCGTCTCGTGTTAAAAAAACCTGCATCCGGTGGTTCCTCGTAAAAACAATGCAGGTTAAATAAACTTTAAAGCGTGACTCAGCGAGCGCTCCTCGTCGGCGGCTTCAGGTCGTAAAGCGTGTTCTTCATGTGGCCCGGGTCGTAAAATAAAAACGCTAACAAATTAATTTTACCTGCATGCGTTAAGTGGAGCTTTTGAGCTCGGCGATGGAATGAATCACATTAAGAGGCGGCCGAGTCGTCGGCTGCTCCGGATTAACTTGCAAATATGTGAATATACTCTGAATTGCCGACGCATCGGCCTGTTATTTACTCAGAATGAATTATGCGCCCCTGAGAATCACCGCCGCGTCGCCTCCTCTTGTTCTGCAGCTCCAGGATGAGGCCCGAGTTTCAGAAATACAGCGAACGCGGCGACAAGCTCGACGTAATTTAACTTCTCTCCCTAAATATTTCCAGAAATGCGTCGCCGTAAGTCAGCGGCCTCGTGGGACGCTGACGTCTCTGCAGTTTATCCCAAGGACAGACCGGATAAGAGCCGCCACAACATTAAGACCAGCAGGTCCTGGAAGGCCTGGAAACTGCACGATGAAGCCTCGACACCTTGAACTGTTTGTCGAGTTGCTTAAACTGTTCCTGAACTATGTTTGTGGTGTGTGAGGCGTCAAAGTAAGACCAAGTAAAAATGCAACAGGAACAAACATAAACCCTCAGAATCAATTAAATAAGCGTTTAACGGTGAAACTGAACAGAAGGTTTTGTAGAAGCCACGGTGACATCGTGGATTTCTTCCAGGAAGCTAATCTACTGTAATATAAGACGAGGCAAAGCAGCAGAACGTCTAATCTGACCAGATGAAACCTTTAAATTTTGAGCATTTTTGCTATAAACTGAGTCCACGGGGAGTAAAAACGCAACAGGAACGAACACAAACACCCAGAATCTGCTTAGAGTTCAGAGGGTTAAATCGATTAATTGTTCGGCCTTTTAAACATCAGATAACGGTGAAAACGCCTCGAACATTTTGTAGAACCTGAGAACTTTTCCAGGTAGCTAATCTACTGTTATATAGGACGAGACAAAGCAACAAGAAGTCAAATCTGACCAAATAAAACCATCAAATTTTGAGCATTTTTTGACTAGAAAATGAGTCCACGGGGAGTAAAAACGCAACAGGAACAAACACAAAAAGAAAAGTATGTTGGATACCTGGAAGAAATCCACGATGTCACCTTCTATTCATTTTCACTGTTAAACACTTATTTAATTGATTTTGGGTGTTTTTGTGTTTGTTCCTGTTGCGTTTTTACTCCTTGTGGCCTCATTTTCTAGTCAAAAAATGCTCCAAATTTGATGGTTTCGTCGTATCAGATGAGCAGCTTTTCTTTCTTTTATATTATAGCATGTTGGCTACCTGGAAAAATTCTCAGGTTCTACAAAATTTTTGAGAGGCGTTTTCACCGTTACTTGATGTTTTACAGGCCCAACAATTCATCGATTTAACCCTCTGAACTTCCTGTTGCATTTTTACTCCCTGTGGGCTCATTTTCAAGCCACAAAATGCTCAGTTTGATGGTTTCATCTGGTCAGATTAGAAGTTTTGCTGCTTTGCCTCGTCTTATAGTAAATAAATCAACAAAAACGAGCAGAACGTTTTGTAGAAGCCAAGGTGACATTGTGGATTTCTTCAAATTTTGAGCATTTTGGCTTCAAAATGAGCCCACGGGGAGTAAAAACGTGGAACCTCTTGGAGTTCAGAGGGTTGAAGCTGCAGAACGACGGCCGTTTGTTGCTGCTATCGACCAAACTTTTGTCACAGGATGGATCTGCTCGGCGCCATGAGTCCTCCTGGTGAGGAAACACCACCAAAGCTCCACGTTACATCACGGCGGTGTGAAGGTGACTCCGGTGGGCGTCGGCCGGCGTGCAGAAGCCTCCTCGGCACACGTCGGAACAGCAACACGGCGGCGGCGGCGTCACAAAGCGGTTAAACAGATTGGCCTATTTGTGGAGCGTGTCTGATTGGCTGCAGCCTGCTGACTGGCTGACGGCCAGAACTTCAAGTATATATTTCATATCAATAATTCCAGTCGGGGAATGTGATTTATTCAGCAGCGAATGAAGCAGAACAGCGCCGTGGTACGTTTGTTTTATTTAAAGATCCTTTGCTCCTGTATTCTCCCCGTGCACGAATCAATCGTATCGTCGGATGTGCGACCGAAGCCGAACAACATCCCCCAAAACAGCTCGCTGTCAGAGCGGCCGGATATCAAACATTCATACGAGCAGGAGCCGCTTTGATTTCTGATTCCTGGACGAGGCCCAGAAGCATCAATATTATATCCGTTTAAATGCATATATCATCTGTGCTGCTGCTTTGTGGTGAAGAACAATCATAATAATAGAAACCTGGAGATGCAGCGACCAACGATGAAGGTCACGGCTCTAAAACATCATGTTTGGACTCAATGAAACTAAAAAAACCAAACATTTACGTCAATGTTTTTGAGTTTAGACGAATTCTAGTGACATTATGTTCAACCAA